CCGGCCATCAACCCTGTGTTTCATGAGTCCCATTTGCGATGGGTGATTGGCGAGCACATTCCATCTTCTTCACTTCACTCGACTTTGACGAACGAAATGGAGATGTTGTTGGAACCATAGGTGGTCGAAAGGGTGCGCTAGGGAATAATAGGAAGTACATAAGTGTTGATCAAATGGAAGAACCTACCGGAGCAGGAGACCATTACCAGATAATTTAGCAGCAGCTCCCATCATTCCACCTTGAGGACAAGGAGACACTTTTTGGGGGGAGTATTGATGAACCGGCTGAGCCAGTCCATTAATTACAGTAAGTCCAAATAGGGTCAGCCCGATTCAGATAGTGGGAAAAGGAGCCACACGCACGAGAAGCACAGGAGCCAATGAGAGGAAAATTCAACCCTCTTGTGGGGCCTAGCAAACCAGTAATTCCTTATGTTAGGACAAGGATTAAGGAATGAATTAATGTAGGGTTTTAGTTTTAAATTCTCAGTTGAAACATCTAAAAGTTACCTCTATCTCAGTGGCATAAAAAAAAGGTGCCATATTTCAAATCCATTACATCTTACCAGCCTTTCATAATCTGTTTGAGCATTATCTATTAAGTGTAAGATGTATATAGAACTCATGAAATTGACTTCTAAATCTCATACCATATGTCATTAAAGATGGCCACGAAAAGTTTATAGCATTTTGTCGAACAAATGAGGCAAACTTTACAATCGCGTTTCAAGAAAAAAGAATAACAAGATTATATAATGGATGAATGTTAAAGCATATGAGAGTACTGGGTTCAAGTTATTTAGGGCAACCTTGAACCATGGTAATTGATGCTACTTGGATGTAAATATAGAAAAATAGATAAGAAGAATATGCAGGAACACAAATATGGGGGCTGATTTTTATTACTCCAACAATAACAAATGATACAATTGATCTACTATTTGAGAGGTGGATCGGCTCTCCCACAAACCCTAGGTGCCGTTAGCAACAACTCCAAAGAAAAACTACAACAAACACAATCACATAATGAAAATAAAACCACCCAATTAACCATAATATAAACCTTCATACTTCTCTCTCAAATCAGAATTAAAATCAGCCATCTTTTTCGAAATAAACTTTTCCTAATTCCCTCCTAATCTAATCACAATCTTTTCCTAAATAAATCATTCAGAATTCCCTCCCAATCAAATTAGCCATATTTCTCTAAATAAACCTTTCATAATTCCCTCCCAATAAAATCAACCATCTTTACCTAAGTTACATTTCCTAATTCACTCTCAATCAAATCAACCCTCCTTTCATAAATAAATCTATTCTAGTTCCCTCCCAATCAAATAAGCCATCTTTCCCTAAACAAAACTTTCCTAATTTCTTCCCCCATAATTCCTTCTTACATAATGAATAATAGATCCAATGGGCCCCACAGGGGGCCCAAAATTCCCCCTCTTGCTGCCCCTGATTCCGCCCAACCAAATGGTTGGTTCAGCCAGGGTTGGGCTGGCCTAGGCTGCGTGGCTATGCTAGCCTGGAACGGCCTGGTGAACCCCCCCTCCCCCGGTGGCATATGAATACTAACCCCCAAAGATGCACCTTGTCTTCCAGGTGAAATGATGGGAATTGTCTCATGATTATCTCATATGGCTCCCATACAGCTTCGTACTACGATAAATCCTTCCCATTGATTAGTACCTCATGTGCTCCTATCTTCAATACAGTCCTCAAGTAACCCACATGCTCTACCTTTGTACGATTGTAGATCAAGATGTCAAAAAACACTAGGACGAACTTCCTAAGGTATAATTGAAAAACAAAGTTCGTGAGGGACTAAAAAGTGGCTGGAGCATTTCTATGGCCGAAAGACATTACCAAATACTCGTAATGACCCTCATGAGTCCTAAAAGTTATCTTGTGCACATACCCCAACTTAACTCTGATCTGATAGTACCTCGACTTTAAGTCAATCTTTTAGAAGATGACCGCCCCAAACAGTTCTTCTAGCGCTCATCAATCGCATGAATAGAAAACTTGCCCAGCACAGTTTCCTTGTTTATGGCTATAATTCACGCAAAACCTCCAACAGTCGTCATTCATTTTCATCGGTAAAACTGGGTTGGAAAAGGGGCTCACATTGGGCCTGATAATCTCTGCCTTAACCATCTCTCTGATGAGCCTCTCTATCTCATCCTTTTGAATCTATGGGTACCAGTACAGTCGCACACTGATTGGAGAAGCTCCCTCCTTCAAGGTAATGGCATGAACGTGCTCCCTAGGTGGCGGTAATCCACTAGGCTGCAGAAAAACCTAAGGAGATTGCTGCATGATGTACATACTCAATGATCTAGACCGGCTCTAAATCTTGGGCCTCCAGGCCCTGCAACTCCACCAAGTAGCCCAGCCCTACACCCTGTATCGCCTTGACCATGGTTTTGAGTGAAATATAGTTCTGCACATACTTGCATCTCCTCGCAACACCACCCTCTTTCCCTCCAGCTGAACCTCTATAGTCAATATTTGTGGACCAACTTCGTCTCCCCAAGCGTCTGTAACAACTTTATCCCTAGGATCACATCCGCGCTTCCCAAATCCAAGGGAAGAAAATCCTCCATTATTTGCAAACCCTGAAGTGTTAGTACCAACTTCCTACAAATCCACTACTCTTTTCCACCTTCCCTATCCCCATCATGACTCCAAAGCTCCATATATCCACCAACTTCAATTCCAACTAATCCATGACCCAATTTGAGATGAAGTTGTGAGTATCACCACTATCCACAAAGACCACCACTGGCCGCTCCCTGATCTTTCCCCTCTCCTTTATGGTGAGTTTTGGAGTGAATTCCACCACTGAGTTAAAGGACACTTCTACCACATCAAGATGTAGGTGCTATCCACTTCTACTTCCTCCACCAACTCCTAGTTGTCAGTCTCCTCCCCATCACAAACCATAAAGACTTGGAGTATACGATTCTTGCATCGATGGCCTGGTGCATACTTCTCATCACATTAGAAATACAAACCCTTCGCTCTCTTGTATTAGACCTTCTCCTCTCTGAGACGCTTAAAGTTGGTACGGGGGAAAACTCCCCAATTTTTCTACCTCAGTGCCTCTCACTGAAATGACACCATCTATGTCCTCGGTGCCAGTGAAGTCGAGGCACTCCTATAGGAGCCACCCATGGCTCTGCTCCAACTAGTCCTCTCCATCTGTCTCTGATCATCCACCATTTGTGCTAGCTCCATCATCTCTATTAACCCACTCGGCCTTAAAAATCAAAGGCCTACCCGTATATCAGCCTTTAGGCCCTTCATGAAATTTTCCTCCAATATCTCGCCACTGAAATCCTCCTCAATAACCCCGATAGCAACTCAATCTATCATTATACTCCATGATGGTCTCCTCCTGAGTCAAGACAAAGAATTGCTCATGTAGGTCTCCTTTTCGAATGGCTCATAAACGCTCCAACAAGTAATCCTTAAACTCCCTCCAAGAATGGATCGAATATCTAGCCTCACTCCAATGGAAACAAGCTAGGGCTTTCATCTCTAAACATAGCCATGTAGCCATAAGCTTATCCTCCTCATTCAACCCATTCCCCGCAAAATACCTTTCCACCTCGTACACCCACCGATAAGCATCCTCCTCTTCAAAGTTCAAATATCAGCATCTTCAACTTCCTCACCCTACCATTTCCACTCCAACTTCCTCTTCCACCAACAGTTCCCCCTGTGTATCGAGGGTGGGAATCCCACCTTTCTTCCATCCTCTTTGTATGACCAAATCCCATGGCTTGGCTTGACCCCCTCCATCTCTAGTTGCCCACTCCTTTTGGCCAAAATGCCTCACATAGTCGTCGGCCAACCCACCACCGCTACCACAAAATTCCCTCCTTGTTGTCCCCCCATCCAGAAACCCTGATATTCCCCTTATCGGAGCCATAGGAGGTAGCTCTTGATGAAAGACACTCTCCTCTATGAATTCCTCCTGTCTGATCTCCTTTCCCTTAGATTTAGCCAAGAGAATTCCGGTCAAATCTTAGTTAGGATTATGAATTAGAACCGCTAGTGGAGTTTTGGATTGCATCTCCATGATCTTTCTCATCATCTTCTCCAACCCTCCAAATCGGCTCTCCATCCACTTTTTCATGGTTAAAAACCTTCCTTCGATGGTCGAGAACTTCTCATCCATCCCGAATTTGATTTACTCCACTTCAACTTCAAACACATCAACCTTCTTTGTTGTCATCTCTCTAAAATCTAGCTCTAATACTAATTTGATGAGACTTGGAAGCAAATATAGTAAAGTAGATAATAAGAAAATGCATGAACACAAATATGGGAGCTGATTTTTTATTACACCAACAATATCGAAAGGTACAATTGATCTACTATTTTAGAGATAAATCGGCTCTCCCACAAACTTTAGACATCGTTCGAAACAACTCCAAAGAAAGACTAGAACAAACACAATCACATAATGAAAATAAAATCACCCAATTAACCCTAATATAAACATTCTTACTTCTATCAAAAATTTGAATTCAAATCAGTCATCTTTCCTTAAATAAACCTTTTTAATTCTCTTCAAATCAAATCATCCATCTTTTTCTAAATAAACCTTTCCTAATTCCCTTCCAATCAAATCATTCATATTTCCCTAAATAAACCTTTTATAGTTCCCTCCCAATCAAATCAACTATCTTTCCCTAAATAAAAATTTCATAATTTTCTCCCAATCAAATCAATCATTTTCCCCTAAATAACCAAGCACAAAATGAATTACTGAATAAGAAAGGTCGGTGAACCAAGAAGAGGAGAAGATCCGAGATACATGAATAAGAAAGGGAATAATCAAGCACTTTGATGTAGTCATAAATAAAAGGAAAATCCCTTAATAGTGTAAATTTTCAGCAGTAAGTAAACATCTTATTGTAAAAACAGTTGCAATAGAACGGGTAGATATTGCAAGAAAACCACAAAAGTAATAAATAATGGCCTACCTGGAAGTGAGAGCTGTTCAAGCAGTAACCAATCCTCTGGAACAAAGGGACCATACATTTTTGGAACTCAGTCACATTAATAGATTCCAAGATCTCTTCTATCTCACCCAAAAACATAACCTCCTTCTGACTATTTGTCACTGGCCAATACTTCAACAACCGCAAGATGACAGTACTCGCAAGCTTTGGCTCTTTTTCTATAAACTGAGTCATACAGTACGTCAACTGCTGAAGATATATTCCTACTGTCTTAGGTTTATGAAGTGGAATCAGAGCTCTCCATAGAAAGATCTTGTGCTCCTCCTTAAGTGGTAAAGCAAAACCACTAATCACACTTCCAAAAACTTCCAGCAACTCTGCAATCCCATTATGCCGTTGAGTTTCAAAAATGAATCGGAAAAATACATTGCTCGCAGTTTTGCGAATGAAAGGCCGGTGAACCATAAACTTGCCATAAACCCTGTGCAGGACAGTTTTCAAGCATTCCCTTTCCCTTGGATCCTCAGAATCAAAAAGATCAAGCAAATTCAATATGAAAGAATGATCAACATACTTCTTTGCCACCTTTGCATCAAGGGACGCTGACACAATGAATTGAAGTAGCAAATCATAGACAATTTGCAAATGTGACCATGCGGGATCAAACATTGGCTCATCCTCTTCATTCTCACCAGTTCCTTTGTTGGATCGGCAATTTGGCGGGAAGACCCTAAATAAGTTGAATGCAAACATCTTGCAGCTTGCGGCAATCATAGGCTCAGTGAACCGAGGAGGACCTGAATGGACATACTCTACAAGATCTACCAGAGTTTGATGTTTTATGTCTTTTTCTGCAGTGTCCTTGTTCAGATCAGAGAATTCAAAGATCACGCAGCAAAGATTCAGCTTGCTAATGAAAAGGTTAGACTTCTCTGCATTAGAAACATCCTTAAAGGATAGAAGTGGTTCAATTCCAGCCACAAAGCTTGACGGAAAAATAGAAGAGGACATCCGCTTCACAGATGATGCAGATTTGCTGGATGCTATATTTCCACTCGACGTCCTTTGGATTGTGTTGCATAAACTTGCACCATCGCCAATGGAATGGCTGGACGACAAGGAATCTGAATTGGCCTCAGCTTTTGAGGATTTGCGGGGAAATTTGCTGAGGAACTGCTTCCACATAATGTTAAATTTGCAGGGAATAATTACAAAGCCTTAATTCAACCTCATGGTACAGAAAGTCCAAAGAGATACAAATCCAAATGACTCAAAAATGAAGCTTGAACCAATCAGCCATGAACTTGATGAGGAAAGATAATCTATTTGCATGTAGTTGATCGAAAAACCACTTGCTATCGAATAGGAACCCCAAGGTTCCAGTGATGGAGGATGCAGGGAAGGATCAACCCCAGAAAAAAAGTAGAAAATGCTTGAATCTTTCCAGTGATTGAAGATAAAAGCACAAAAGAAAAGCGCAAAATAAGGACAGTTATCCGCCGTTAAAAGAAGCATATATTTTGAGATATACTTGAAATGCGAGAGGAAAACTGAACAATAACCGAACAAAATTCCAAGGGTTCAGCGACAATCGACGATCTGAACAGCACCGATTCTACCTGCATTCAAGCGCAAGATTACCAACAGTAGAAAATAAGGCGAAGAAACGTAATCTCCGCCATAAAATCTTAAGCAAAAGTGGGAGACCACCACACTCTAGAAAGCTATCGGAAGAACAAACTGATGTTTCCCAAGCACCAAGTTAAGGTATTTGGATAGCGAAACCTGTGTTCTCAGAGAAATTAAGCAAGCTTACAAAGGAGCTCCGAAGAGATCCGAACAATTTGCTCTGCCGCAGCGCTTAGCCGATGCCATGAGATCGGATTTGGGTTCTCAATGTCTTGAAAGGAGGGAAGGGAAGAGTACTGGATTGAAGGAAGAAAAAACATAAAATAGGCAGCGAAATAGATGTTTAGAAAATAAAAGGAGTACGGCGTACTTGCATAAATTAATCCTTCAATCTTTTTTATTAGTTCTAACAGATGAAGGGAAAAATTTTATAATATATATATAATGCCATGAGATCGGATTTGGGTTCTCAATGTCTTGAAAGGGGCAAATTATTGGGTCAGGTGACCGAACCCAGAGATAGGTTCGGATAATAATAAAATATTATTTTAAAATTAGCGCAACTAAAGCGTAACTAAAGCGCAACTAAAGCGCAACCAAAGCGCAACTAAAGCGCAACCAAAGCGCAACCAAAGCGCAACCAAAGCGCAACTAAAGCGCAACCAAAGCGCAACCAAAGCGCAACTAAAGCGCAACCAAAGCGCAACCAAAGCGCAACTAAAGCGCAACCAAAGCGCAACTAAAGCGCAACCAAAGCGCAACTAAAGCGCAACCAAAGCGCAACCAAAGCGCAACCAAAGCGCAACCAAAGCGCAACCAAAGCGCAACCAAAGCGCAACCAAAGCGCAACCAAAGCGCAACCAAAGCGCAACTAAAGCGCAACCAAAGCGCAAGTCAAAAAGCGCAACTAAAGCGCAAGGTGACGCGGCAAATTTTTATTGGATGTCCGAACTTATATTCCGCCTCCGGTCACCTGACCCAATAATTTGCCCAAATTGTGGGTATCTATAAGTTAAGTTAGCTAGATTCATTTGCTTCAATGTTGCTTCGTTAAGTTGGTTTATTTGCATTTTTAGCCTTCCTACTCTGCATTCCCATGCTACTACTTCCTCACCTAGTCCATTTCCCAATAATAAAGTAATTATTAAATGTAAAATTAAGTTCTATTTTTAATAAATAAATCAATTTAAACCTAAAATTCAACATCAAAATGATAAACCCTTAATATAAGATACTTTTGTTTAGACATTGTGGTATGTACTTAGTTCATCTTCATTTGACCTCAATTTTTAATCTTTTTTCAAGTTCCCATTAAAGAATATGATTTAACATACTGGAACACAACAAACAACAAATAAATATTTCCACATCTAATCTTAAAAATGATGAACAACATGCTGCTAGAGAAATTTGCATAGACAGTTGGTTCTAATTCATCTCATTAATCAGTTGGAGATGTGAATTTACTCTTGTTGTGTCATCTCCACAACACCTTCACCATATCCTCCTCATGATTTGTTTAACATGTCTCATTTATATTATTAATAATATGTCCAATTCGATGCTCATTGTTTTTGGAGAATATATGACTGTCCTATCAAGAACATGAATTATGAATCTCTCAGTGGTATGACTTGTTGATCTAGTAATGTTGTTAAGCAAAAATGTAATGTCCCCAAGGCTACAAGAGGCGGGGGTAACTTGTAGTTAAAAAATTTAAGTCTCCTTTTGGAAAATTATGGAACTCGAAATAAAATTTCTTAAATTTTCTAGAAAGAAATGTTTTCAAGACAGAGTTTTAAAACTGAAAATTATAGTGCGTAAGTAAAAACAAGTAAAGTAAAATGACAACAGATTTATAGTTGTTCGGTACTAACGCAGACTACAATCCACTCCACACAATGGCATCCACTCTGGATAATTGGCATAATAACATGGACTCTCCTTTGACACCACAAGCAGAGCAAGAAGCCTTTACACACACTCTTTTCTATCCACTAGCCCCGTGCGGCAAGAACGTCCGTGTCTTTTAACCAATCCAGTGTTTGGCAGAGAACGTCTCTTATCATCACTATCCGAGTGTTGTGCAGAGGAACGCGTCTGTATTCCCTCGCGCCTATTTCGCAAAACATCTCGCTAGTTGGGCAGAATTGGTTGTTTATACTCTTCCACGTGTTAGGCAGAGAACCTTCGGTCCTCGTCTTCACACTCTCAAGTGAGGACAGAGAACCTTTCGGCTGTTCACAAGAGGTCTCTTAACAAGTGGTGGGCAAGGAACCTTTCGCTCCATTTGTAGGAATCCCTCCCTTGAATGCTCTCTTCACTCTTCTCCTGGCTAATTTCTCAAGAGGCACGAGACAAATTGTACAAACAAGATTGTGGGAGCTCTAATTAGGACTATTTATATAAAAGACATAAGAGAACTCACCCAATAACACTGCAAGTTTTCATTGCCTGTACGGTCCAGTTGGAACGTTCGTTGGTAAACGATTCTAGATTGTCTCTGGACGATTTTACTTAAAACTATCTGAAACGTACTTTAATTTTGAATAGATTGTTACGAAATGTCTTCGTGACATGCTGATCGTCTCTGTACGACTAAGTTCTGGTACCAGAATAACCGAACGGTTATTTCACAAAGTCCGATACCTTAGAAACTGCTTCAAACGGTTCTATAGTCGGTACTAATAGGTCGTTGGTAGGGACAAAATATGTTCGTCTAGATCGAAATTTTTATTAGAGAGTACACGATCGTGCCCTGGACGATTTTGACTTCGTCTGGACGAAAAATTTTCCAGAGGACAATCGCCTAGACGGACGGATTAATTATTCTACATCTGGACGAAAGATTTCACAGAGACCAGATCGTTCCTAGATCTGATTGTTAATTTTCGTCTGGACAAATCTATTTCTAGAAGACTAGTCGCGAACGGACGACTAATTTAAATTCGTCGCTGACGAAAATTTTAACAGTGACCAATCGTCCTGTAACGATAATTAATTTACTCGTGCCTGTGAATAGGACTTAGAAGAATATTTTTTCGACAAGTTCCTGTTTCCGTATCCATGTTCACTATGAGGCATACTGTCTGATCGTCCAGTACGAACGATATCGTCCTTACGATCAGTATAAGAATTATATAATATCTCCGTATGTAATGCTGTGTGTGTTGTGTGTGTTTATTCACACTCAAAATAGCAAATCACATCCCTTATACTTTGATTTCCTAAGAAAATGAAGGCAAGTTTCAAATTTTAACAAAGTATCTCATGCTGAA